ATAAATAAATAAATAAATAAATAAATAAATAAATAAACTACATACCGTATGGCAGGGCTATTCAACTAAATTGCTCTGGGGGCCACAGTTAATGCAGACAACAGCTCAGGGGCCAAACATTCAGCAACTAAAGTTATTATGTAAATAATCCAAGTATTACAAAGATCTGTTACCTTTGAAATAGTTTATTTTGCTGCATTTAATCATGAATACAACATAAATAACCCTATAAAAGCAATCATAATTAAACAATATCAAAACAAAAAGAACACATTCTGCCTCCTATTAGACACAAATAATATTTTGACATCTCTGACTTACCAAATTTTTAAACCAATTTTATTTTCAATTTTATATTTTTATATTCAACTGCTTGTATTTTTAGCTGTCTTGGGTGTGTGTAGAAATGGATTTTACCAGCTTGTAGCCAAGATTCTGATGTTTCTGTAGATCAAACACGTATATGTTTAACTAAAAGAATTTAGAGTAATTAAAGTAGAAAACCAGGGGTTTGGGCTTAAGAGATGAATGAACCAAATGGCGGGCCGAACTTCGGTCACTCGCGAGCTGGATGTGGCCTGCAAGCACAGGGTCCAGGGTGACGCAGTTGAATAGCCCTGCTACTGTATATGGTAAAATTTATTACGCCAATTTATTGATCTTCACACTGCTGACTGTTTTGCAGGACTTGGTCATTTACTGAGCTATTTTACCTTTATTGTCTCTCTGTGAGGAAACTTGTTGGACTTTTCCCATCCCACATGTTGGGGTGCAGCTGCTTTGTTCATGGGTGGGGCAAATTAAAGAGCTTCTCCACCCTCATTTTTTTTTTTGTTTTTTATTGCCTTTAGCCACATTGCAAGCACAAACAGGGCAATAGCTGCTAGCTGTGGCAATTTCAATGCAGCCTGGGACATTTCAGGCAGGAATAACCTATATTTTCTGCCTGAATAATTAAATTGTGTGACATGGTGGTGTAAAGACCGCAGTCGCATCAACTGTTGTGAACATTTTAAGGCCAAGTGGGTTTATGATTGGCCTTGACAAATTAGCCGTTAGTACATTATCCATTCATCACATTATGTATTTTTCTTCTTTGTTGTGGGGGGTTGCTTATGCCTACATCCAGCAGCCACTGTACAAGGGGCGGGGTACACCCTGGACAGGACACAGGTCCATCACAGGGCCTCAGAAAGACATACAACCCGTGTCAATGTCAAATTTATTTATATAGCACAATAAAAACAACAAAAGCTGACCAAAGTGCTTCACAGTTCAGTCAAGACTTGTATCAAAAGACAAACAAATAATAGATACAAATGCAATACAGAAACACACAATAATATATAAAAAGCTCCAACTGAACCTCCGTCTTCATCAAAAGCCAAAGAAAATAAATGTGTCTTCAGCAAAGATTTAAAAGCCTCAACAGTTTCTGCTGACCAAATTGTAAGAGGCAGACTATTCCACAGCTTTGGAACAGCTATTGCAAAAGCCTGATCACCTCTAGATTTGAGTTTGGATCTAGGAACATCGAACAGAAACTGGTTGGTAGAGTTGAGTGCTCTGACTGGAGTGTAGATGTTAAGGAGATCACATAAATATGACGGGGCCAGATCATTAAAAACTTTAAAAGCCAACAGTAAAATCTTAAAATCAATAGGTGAACAAGAAGCCAATGTAGAGAAGCCAGGACTGGGTTTGTGTTTTTTAGTACCTGCTAAAAGATGAGCTGCAGCGTTCTGGACAGTCTGTAGGCGATACAGAGATGATTTATCCAAACCAGCATTCAAAGAATTACAATAATCCAAGCAAGTAGTAATAAAAGCATGAATCACCTTTTCAAGGTCTTTAGTGGGGAGATTTCACCCTAGCAATCAGCCTTAATTGGAAAAAACTTGATTTTACAATGGAATTAATCTGTTTATGCAATTTAAAGACACCATCAAAGAGAAAACTCCTGATAGTAGAGTGGCTATATGAAAATAAAGGGCCAATGTCATGACAATTAACTTTACCAAAAGTGATTACTTCAGTTTTACTCTCATTTAGGTTCAGAAAGTTCAGTTTTAGCCAGGTTTTTGTATCATTTAGACAGCTAAGAGTGGTTCCAGTGGAGCGACCCTGTTCAACTTAATGGGCATTTGGACCAGAACCCATAGAACCCAAGAATTCATTGGTTTGGTAAAAAAATAAACTCTATTTCTAAACTGAGGTTATTCAAAAGGTTAATTGTTCTAGTTCTCCACAGATCCTCACTTAAAAAAAAACTAATCTGTCTATTGAAAGAAGGATTTTTCACATAATGTTTTTTTTTTTTTTTGTATTTTTGCATAAACTATCTTCAGGTAATTCAAGTGATTTTCCCCTTCTTTTTTCCCCATCTAACTGGCTGGAAGACAGATTTACATTCAGAAACCTGCACAAAAACCAATCGCCTTCAAAGGAGGCTTGACTTGGATCATTAAAAATAAAACGTCACTTGAAAAACCAGAATGTGCAAGCATAATGCCAGGAAACTAAACTTCCAACAGGTTTCACTATGTAGAAGGAATGATAGAAAGCATTTCTCATGAGGTACTTTCTTTCAACAGGACATGAGGGCGAATCAGAACACTGGCACGACACCTGTGATATAACTGGAAATGACCCTGAAAGGAACAAGCAAGTGAAGAAAAAGGAAGGATGGATGTTTCTGAATTGAATACATCCTCATCTAATTTATTGTTTGGGTCTAAATGTTAGACTTTGAACTTTACATCTATCTATCTCTGCCATTTTATC